GTGTGTGTGAGAGAGTGTGTGAGTGTGCGAGAGAGAGAGAGAGAGAGAGAGAGAGAGAGAGAGAGAGAGAGAGAGAGAGAGAGAGAGAGAGAGAGAGAGAGAGAGGTGTTCATTGTTAAATCGACGACACAATTTTCTAGGTTTCTACGACGGGAAATCTGTGTGAAAACAGTTGCATGCGTGGGGTCTTTTTGCGGTCGTGATGCATGTAATACCACCTTTGTAATGTGTGCTTTACGCTCAACTTGGTGTTTGTTGTGTATTTGATTGTGTGAGTATCTAGTGTTGTTCATGTGGACTGCAACTACACCTACGTGGCCGGTGTAAGGGGTTAGGAACTTAAGACAAAAGGCGAGGGAAGATGAATGGTTTTGAGCACTGGATGATCAGTTGAAACATTTTTCAAAGCTTTAAGAATGAAGGCTATGTTACACGGAGTTGTCCAAAACAAAGAATGTCCTTCCTGGCCAGATGGATGAGCTACGTTTGAATGCCGCGTCCCACGTCAACAACACAGACGGCACATGCATTGGGCATCGAATGTATTTCGTACGGCACACGACCATCACGCCATCCACACGCATGCCACAACCAACTTTAAATTACATGCAGTCGCAGCGCTAAATTGCACAAGAAATTTCCGAGAAACACACACACAAACGTAAACAAGAAGGTGCACATGCACGCTTGGGAAGCACAACGACCCCCCCGACACAATGTCACCACATGTTCTACCATACAACCGAAAAAGAAGCAAAGTTTTCGACATTCAACAACATCACACACCATCCACACGCACAAGTTTCAAAAGAACAAAGCACAGCATGAAAGGGCGTCCAAACATCAAACAAACTATCCTATACAAGAGAAGTACGTTAATCGGATGTCTTAAAAGGATGCAATTGCCCGCAGAGGGGTCAGATGCCATGTGCGGAATTCAAAACGAAGAAATCTCAAAATGCAACGAAGAAAAGTAATCAACCGACAACACATGGCTGCGACGATCATCTACCAAAAAACGACAGCTTGTGATACGCGTGTGGGTCCTGGCATCCCACAACGCCCACACAAGACTCCATATCCGCTACGAAGAGGGATCACACTACCCACACGCTGATGCAAAAAACGACACGGGCGACGACGTGTGATGAGGAACCTCTCTCTCTCTCTCTCTCTCTCTCTCTCTCTCTCTCTCTCTCTCTCTCTCTCTCTCTCTCTCTCTCTCTCTCTCTCTCTCTCTCTCTCTCTCTCTCTCTCTCTCTCTCTCTCTCTCTCTCTCTCTCTCTCTCTCTCTCTCCTGCCAAACATCGTCAGAGGCCACCCATCCTCTCGGCCAGTGCATCCCTCAGACTCAGTGCATCTCCCTTCGAGCTCTCCATGCACACCGGCGGCAAGGGACGCTGTATTTCCAGATCTACACGATGACGCACTCCGTTCGCATCCACCTCCCAGAACAGATTGTCATCAAACGGGATGCTAGTGTCGATGAGCAGGTTGTGGAGAATGCACACAGCCACCAACTGTTGTGGGCCTTGCGGCAACGTCTCCATATTTGTCTTGTGCGACCGCAGGAACAACCTCCACATCCCCTTCAGTCTGCCGAAAGCCCTCTCAACTACCCCCCTCGCAGTTTTTTCCTTGTTGTCGAACGGCATCTCCGATGGGTGACGAGTAGTGCAGCCATAGGGAACAACTATCCATTCGGATGGTGGGTAACCATTGTCGCCCAGGAGGTAGCCATTCGTCTGTATGCCGAATGGCAGCATCACAGGCTGGCCTCTGAAAAGTTCCCCAGCCTCTGCACGTGCCCATAGACTCGACCAGTGGAAGATTCGGACGTCGTGGCTACTTTTAGGATAGCTAACGAAGACGTCCAGCACACGCAGGTTCAGATCTACGACGACCTGCGCGATGATCGAGAAATGTCGTTTCCGATTGTAGTAGTCCTCGCCAGGGGCGTTTGTCAGCTTGTCGATGTAGATATGTGTGAAGTCGATGCAACCATGGCTGTTGGGGAACCCCTTGCCAATGAAAGCACGGAGGACATGTGAACCGACTTGCGCACACTCGTCGGCCATGTTATCTTGTTACAGTAGACCGTCAACAACGCGGCAGTGGTGTCCCTCACCGCCACCAAACTTGATGCTCTGCCGATGCCGAAGCTACACGTGCTACTCTCGTACGTCTCCCTCGACACCCACGGATACAACGTGTATGCGGCGATCTGATCAGGCTGCAGCGGCTCCCTGTAGAATGTCACACGCCACTGCAGGAATGACGACAAAGCTTCCGCAATCTCCCTGAAGATACGTGGCGACATGCGCAACTTGTCCCAAAAGTAGTCATCCGTGGTGCCGTCGCATTGCCACAGATCCTCCCACGCCCCGATCGTCCTTCTTTTCATCTACCACCTCGGCGTTGCTTTGGGAAGAGCTCCGCAACCCAAGGCCCAGCACACGTGAACGATGACATCGCAGATGGCGGCAGTGTCCCACCCTTCCACCGATGTGCACTGCGTGACCTTCCTCCTCCTCGCGCAGATCTGCGCTTTCATTCTCCTCGTCGTCCTCTCCATCTGACAACGAAAGAGGACCGTGGTAACAGGCGTTGCCACTGCCGTCCTCTCCGTTGTTGACAGCTTCCCATCGACGTCAAGGTCGCCGCCATCCATCGCTCCCAAACGAGCCGCGGTGGCGTCTTTTTCCTCGACGTCTTCCTCGCCTGGCCGCATGCAGTACTCACGGCGACCACTGCCGCGATGGCGTCTTCTCCCTCGACGACTGCCGCGATGGCGTCTTCTCCCCCGACGACTTGCGATGGCATCTTCTCCGTCGTCGCTCTGCCGCAATGGCGTCTTCTCCCCTGACGTCTTCCTTGCCGGGCCGCACACAGTACTCACGCCGAAGACTGCCGTGATGGCGTCTTCTCCCCCAACGACTACCACGATGGCGTCTTCTCCTCCGACATCTTGCAATGGCGCCTTCTCCGTCGTCGCTCTGCCGCCATGGCGTCTTCTCTCCCGACGTCTTCCTTGCCTGGCCGCACGCAGCACTCGCACCAACCCCACTGACGCGTAGTGGAAGGAGGTTCGACGTCCTCCACCAGCCGCCGTACCCAGACGACGAACCACCCCCACCCCAGCGACGTCATTCGAATTTTGATTTTCGAACTGGGACGGCGTGCCGATTTTTTAATTGTTCTTTGAGAAAACTACGGCGCAGTCAGGGTTTGAGTTCGTAATTGCACTTGAGGCAAAAGGGCCGGTAATGCTGAATGTATATGACCTACTTTTAGGGTCCGGTGGGGTCGCTTGGGGGTGTGTTGTATTTGCGGGATTGCCTGAAGTGCAATTACAAACTGTTTTCATGACTCCGCCGAAGTTACCCCATTTTTTTTTTTGGGTCGTCGTGAAGATTCAAATTTTGCCGTCACTCGAAGCTGGACCACGGCCGTCCTACCAGACAACCGCCCATGGACCACCGACCCCACCCCACCCCGCAGTCAGTGATAATATTATTACGCGGAGGGTGACTGGCCGGAGGCCCTCTGTAGGAATCCTCCTGGGAAGGCCTTCCCGAGGATATTAAGTGGAACGACGACGGGAAATCTCTCGGACTGCC